CAGCATGGTTCTGAGAAATAAACAAGGTAATGTCCTAAAGCAGTGGCCTTCAAACCAAACCCCCCAAAATAAATGTTTAGAACTACATATCTATTTGTACATTTTCAAGTTGACATCTAAAATTTCTCATCGTAAGTTTAAATACTTGTAGAGGATGTAATTTCCAACATACTGTAAATATTAACATTTTAAAATAAAACTGTTACTATTTCTCTTTTAAATGGATCCAATGGAACCCAAATATCATAGCAATTTGAGATCCACTATCATCCATTTTAAAATTACATAACAAGCTCTTTAACAGTTGGAAATCTAACAATGTTCCTTTTTCCTCATCAAACTCCAATTTCCAATCCACTTTCCTCAGAGATGTTTACACTAGCCCACAGTTGAAAGCCTTTCATTGATTATCCCACTACACTACTGAGTCAAAAAAAAAAAAATATATAAACATGGATTTTTTTTAATTCCGTCTGATCATAAAATTTTTCTCCTGGATTGAATTGTTATTATAATTACTATTAGCATAAAATTGATGAACACAGCAGAAACATATGTATAAAAAAATGATACTAGAAACACATGTCTGAAGAAATAAGTGGGAATTTTTTTTTTTTTTTTAAACAGTCTCACTTTGTCGCCTTCAGTCAAGTGGCGTGGCATCACAGCTCACAGCGACCTCAAATTCTTGCACTTAAGCAACTCTCTTGCCTCAGCCTCCCAAGTAGCTGGGACTACAGGTGCCTGCCACAATGCCCAACTATTTTTAGAGACGAGGTCTTCCTCTTGCTCAGGCTGGTCTCAAATCTGTGAGATCAAACAATCTACCGACGTCAGTCTCCCAGAGTGCTAGGATTACAGGTGTGAGCCACTTTGCCTGGCCTTTTTTTTCTTTTTTTTTTTTTTTGAGACAGAGTCTTATTCTGTCTCCCCGGGCTAAAGTGCCATGGTGTTAGCCTAGCTCACAGCAACCTCAAACTCCTGGGTTCAAGTGATGTTCTTGCTTCAGCCTCTGAGTAGCTGAGAGTACAGGTGTGTACTACCATGCCCAGCCAATTTTTCTATTTTTAGTATAGACAGGGTCTTACTCTTGCTTAGGCTGGTCTCAACCCCTAAACTCAAGTGATCCTCCCATTTTGGCCTCCAGGAGCATAGGATTATAGATGTGAGCCATCAGGCCTGGCCAGGATAGGGATTTTATTTTTTAATTACTTTATTTACCCACAGATGACTATTGCCTATTGTTAGATTAAGATGGGGTTTATCAATTCTATCTCTGTTTTTCAATTTTTATAAATACAAGTACTGAAACCATTTGTTCAAAGAAAAAGATGGAAAAGATTTACCATAGCAAATTCTTTGAATTCCTTTGGAATTTTATGCCAAGAACTACAGTAATCTGCTACCAAAAGTCATTCTTAATGTGCTGTCAGCTGATAGCTCAATCAGGTCCTCATTCAATTTTGCTATAAGCAGCAACAGCAAATACCTCCCTAGCCTCAGAATAACAATGGCCACTTTTCCTGACAAATGAGAGGGTTTTAGGCCCTGTGGTCTCACACCACAGGTCAAGTCTGCCTGTGAATAGCCAGTGTGAGTCTCCTGCAGACAGCAGCTTCCTGGTGTGCCAGGCATGGTGTCAATTACTTTACCTAGATTAACTCAATCCTCACAACAATGCCAGAGAAGAGGCACCAAGACTGTCCCCACTTTATAGGTGGGCAGACTGACACGGAGTGGTTTGGCAACTCTGCAGGAACCTGCACCCGGGTGGTCTTACCCCTCATCACTATGGGTACTGCCTCTACCGAGACGGAAGGAAAGAGCAAGTGAAAGGGGCAGCTGGCTGGGGCAACAGGGAAGGAGAGTTTATAATCTCTGGGGCAACAGGGAAAGAGAGTTTTACAAGCTCATTCACAAACACAAAAACAGGCACAAGAAGCTGAAGAGCTACAAAATTTATCTTCTTAAATATGCCCCCACCCCCACCTCTGGAAGGTTGCACACAAATGTTACTTTAAAGCAAAAGGAACAATGCCTAGTACACCACTGTCCATAACACTTGTTAAACATTGACACTGCTACTGTTGCCATTAAATAACTACACGAAAAATAACTCCCCTGATAGGAACAAATGCCCCAAGATCTTACTAGCATTTTCCAGTCTAGAGTCCTCACCCTGAGCCCCAACATCTTTTTTTAGATAGTAGCCAAAGCATTTGGAAGCATTTAGTAAATAGAGCAGCCTATCAGGATGTAGCAGAGACCCAGTTAGAAAAACAAACATGGACTTTTGAGACAAATGGACTCCCAGCCCTACCAATGGACCACCTGAACTCCCCTAGACAAGTCACAACACTCTGAGCCTCTGCCTCCTCACTGCTAAGGGGGACACCACCAAAGAGGAAGACAACGCCCACTAGAGGACCTGACACAGGAAACACCCTATGACACAGGCAGCAAGGTGATGTTCAGCCTCTCCAATCACTGTCAGCTGTACCCAGCAAGTGGCAAATGCCTCCTCCAGCTCCTAGGGCCCCACAGCCAGAGGACCCGGCACACAGAACACAGAAGCCTGGCTCATTTTGAAAAAGCCCAGTGGCTTGCCTCCCAATTTTGCAAAAAGCCTTTCTCAACATCTTAAGATTTTAAAGTTATTCAAAATTTAAAAGTTCTCAGGGATGCCAAGAGGATGTAAACAGAAAGACATCGCAGTAGATTTTATTTTTAGATGCCAGGGTAGAAAATGTCCAGTTTGGCTTCACTCTGGTCCCTAGCCACCACTTCCTGCCCTAAGTCACCATCAAAATGAACAGCAGATGCATGTACAAAGGTTTCACTTGGGAATGATTGTGTGTGTTCAAAAAAAAGAAAAAGAAAAGGCTAGAAAGATTTCACAACCCTTCTACCAAGGATGTTGTGACACAATGGCTCCAGTCTCCTGTTCCACCCACAGACTGAGTGGATTAAAGATTTCAGTCTAAATCTTCCCAGGAAACCATGTAAACTGAGCTCCCTGACCCCTGCTTGTCTTTCACATCCTCTCTCCTGGGGTGATGGGGGTGATGTTCCACTTTGTTACAGGTCAGTTCACATGTCAGGTATGGAGGGACAGCTTTCTTTCCCTGTCAAGCAGTGTGCTTGCTGGGGAACACCTGTACTCTGCCCTACAAATGGCTCCCAAAAGCAAGTGACTGCATCAAACCACAAGACAGCCCTAGGACCTTCCTGCACACAATTAGCTCCAACTATAGCTCCAACTATCAGTCAGGGGCTTACTGTGGATAAAGCAGAATCAGTAGGCTCAGTGCCCATAGTTCAGTGGTTAGGGCACCAGCCACATACACCGAGGCTGGCGGGTTCAAACTCTGCCTGGGCCTGCCAAACAACAATGACAACAACAACAATAAAAATAGCCATGCACTGTGGCGGGCACCTGTAGTCCCAGCTACTTGGGAGGCTGAGGCAAGAGAATCACTTAAGCCCAAGAGTTTGAGGTTGCTGTGAGCTGTGATGCCACGGCATTCTACACTCTACCAAAGGATGACATGATGAGACACTGTCTCAAAAAAAAAAAAAAACAGGCAACATCAGCAAAAGATCTACAGATTTCCAAGTACATGTCAGAAAGGACCAGAAGGCAAATATATGCCACTGCCTCCCCCAGCAAGAATAAGTCAGGAGATCATTGGACCCTATGAAGAGACATAGAACTGTGCCTGCTCTGCCCATGCCTGTACCCTTAGCAGGCATTAGCAATCAAACCCTGTCCTCACCCATTCACAGATTTTAAATCCTCCAGGAAACCAATTAATCAGACATAGCCCTAAGCCATTCTAGAATTCCAGCTTCCCCATGTGATGCACAGAGAAACAAAGACCACAGAAAACTTGAGTGCAGGTCATGTAGCTTTGCAGAGCCTAGATAAACATGGGTGTGTGGCTTCTAGAAATTACTTCCCTACCCCAAAACAAACCTCAGCCTCCTGGTGACAAGCTCAACCCATAAACTATCAGGAGGGAGGTCAGGAAGTAGAATTTAGCAACCCTTCACCAGAGCCACTGGACCAAGGCACTCAGGCCCTGCCAACCACTCCCATCACTCTGGTCCCAAGAGCAGGGGAGGGTCTGTGGCCCCCACTGGCACCCCTGGGCCCAGGGTGCTGAAACTATGGGAATAGGGAAGCTGTTCTCTTGTGGTTGCTGAGGAAGGGGCGTCCCATCTAGGGAGGATGGCAGCTGGAGTTAACAAAGGTGGGCTCTGAGAGCACCCTGCAGTACACCCTTATCCTAGGAAACCACCTTCAGATATGCCAGCAGGGGACAGCTTCATTCACACTCATCTAGTCCCTCGCCTGGTTACCCTCTCTGCAGCTACAGATGAGGCCTACAGAGCAAGAAGGAACACCAACCAGCACAGCTGCATGGACCAGCAGAGTCACCTTCAACAAAGACAGTGACAGCATCAGAGAACTCGGCCAGGCCATCCTCAAGTCTTATTAGATGCTAGGGACAGCCGTTAGTGCAGATGTCTGTCACAGCTGGTCCTCACATAGGGTCTGCATGTATTTTCATGTTTCCTTCCTCCACCCTCCCTCCATCTTTCCCTTCCTTTCCCTCTCTCCCTCCCTCCACCCTTCTCCAACTAATGAGCACCTTCCTCACATCCACCAGGGGTGAAGAAAGAAAGGAAACAGGACAACAGGTGGCTGGCTGGGTGGCTACTACACCATCCCACCTGAGCACTGCCACACATGCCCTCAGGACTCCCAAACTAACCCTCCCCGAGTCAGCCCCTTCCATTGACAAAGACACAGCAATTCTCAAATCCAAGCAAGCACCACACGGAGTCTGTGCCCAGCCTGGGCAGAAATCACATCATATCCACAGAGAGAAGAGGCAGAAACAAGATAAACATGGAGAGAGGGCCAAGTGCCCAGGGAAGGTGGGCACTAACAGCTCCTCCACCTAAGAAATGGTCAGGGCGTGGTCTGTACTCACCTGCACAACTTCTATCCCTCGCTTCCTGCAGAGAAAAACAGAGAAAATACACATTACTCCAGTGGGCAGAACACATCCTTCTAAGGGTCCACTACAGCCAGCTGAGAGCAGGCCTGTGAACAGTGCTTCATGGGGGGAGCAGAAGCTGCACCTCTTATCCCATCCCCAGAACAGTTTTCCAAGAGAAGGTTTATGAGCTTCAATTCACCCCCCAAAACCACCTCTCAGGGGCAGGAGAGGGTTGGCTCCCCAGAGGGACTTGGCTAGAGTCCTACGTGGGCCCACGTGGGCTATCATCTGTCTCCCTCCAATCCCGGGGCCACCACCTGCAAAGCCCCAGCCTGGACAGCCCTAAGACCCACCACCATTAAACCACTGCTGTCCCTGCTGACTCACCCCAGGCTCCTTCCAGAGCAGGTCTAAAGCCTCAGCCTGGCCTCCCCACCTGCCACAGCACGTCATGCATTGGCCCCAGACCCTGACTCACCCTACCTAATTTTAAAAGCCTCATTGCCTGGGTCTGGGTCTGGATCTACCTGGAGCACACAAAAGCTCCCTGCTGACTCATTCACCCTTCTCTCCTGGGCCCCACATTTCTTACTGCAAGCCCAGCAAGTGCTATCTGTGTGGCTCCAGCACATAGGGCTATCTCCACCCTGTGCCTTGGTGCATACCTCTCACCCTGGTGGCCTTCAGGACTTGCCCGAGGCAGAGGCTCTCCCTTGGGGCTTTTACTGACACACCATACCCTCCTCCACCCTACACAACACTCCTGAAGAATATGGAGTCACCACTCTCCCAGCCCTTAGCTCCGGAGTATTGATCACCACCACCCAGATCGACATCAGAGCTGGTCCAGGACCACTGGTGTCTATAGGGATAAAGGTACTGGAGGACAGGTGCCGTGTACATCTCACTAGGAAGAAAGGCAAGGCCTCCAGCAGACGCTCAGAGAAGCCTGTGACCAGCCAAGGCCAGGAATCTTTATTCATCCACAGTCCTTGGAGCAAGGACTGTGCCAAATTTTTAAAAGACTGTGTGTCTCAGTGCCTAGCTATGGTGCCCACCTGGCACACAGACACTCACAAACAGGTGCTGGCAAACAAAGGCATACATATGCAAGAACCCCATGCTGGAGGGCACAACACAGCCAACAGCCATAGTCTGGGCCTTCAAGGGGCTCACAGTTCAAGGAAGAAGACAGACACAAAGCCTCCACAGGAAGCTCTGGGCAACCGTGAGCAGGCACGTCACCCTCGGCACAGCTAAGGTGACACCCACCAATTACTACATTCAACAAGTGCTTCCTGAGCACCTCCTGAGAGCCAGGCAACAAGCAGAACCTCACTGGAGTCACACAGAAGACAGTAAAACAGAGACCAACAAGAGCAGACCGGGTCCCACTGTGGGGAGCATCCAGCTGGCCTTCCCTCCAACCACTGGTCCCAAGGCACCCAGTTTGAGAGTCACCATGGTTGATGCTTTCGGGGGCCCTCGCTGTCCCTCGGCTCCTCTGCTGCTCCTAAAGGAATGGTGGCCTATGTCCATCAGCTTGCATGATTTCATGAGTGACAGGCTAGACATACTGCATAACCTTGGGTCACCAAAGCCCACACTAAGGGGACAGACAGCATTAGAAGAAAACACGACCTATGGTTTCTCACACAGAAATGACACATCTGATCACCTGTGTACACACCTCAAAGCCCCCACCTCACTCCCAGATCACCCTGGCCCACTGGAAGGCTGAAAAAACTGCAGAGAGCATCAGTGTGGGAAACCTGCCCCAGGCCACATGCACAGCCTGTGAGGAGCCAGCCTAGGCTCCAGTGCACCTCGTCCCCACCCCCCAAACAACCGAGGATATGGACTGCACGACAGGAAAGGCAAGGACAGAGGTGTGTGAGTGACCCACACCAGCTGGAGCAGGCTTCCTCCAGGCTGCGGGGCTGGGCCTCGGCTTCCTTCTGAGTTAATCCTGTTGGCATCCAGATTATCCTGTCGTGTGGCTCTCATCTCTTTATGAAGCCAAAAGCGGTCACTTCCAATCCGTCCACATTTTACATCATCCCAGATAGCACTCCCTCCCCCAGTCTTAAATTTTAAAAAACCCTCTAACTTGGAAACAGATGGAATGCATAAAATAAGAAAGTAACAAAAAAAGTAACCTAGAGAAAAGACTGGCTGAAATCCCAAGTGGGGCTGAGCTTCCAGGAGCCACCACAGTTCCTCTGAAGCACAGGCACCAGGAACAGGATAAACTGTGACTCTGGCAGAAAAGAGGGGACTCAGCTCTCCTTTCGGCACCCTCAGTGCTCACTGACTGAAGCCTTCTACAGGCCCGTAAGGGAGGATGGGGCTTACCCCAGTAGTAGGACGATCCAGCAGAGGCACAGGGGCTCGGAAGCACAGAAGCTGGCCTGGAGCCGGCTTTCCCCCAGCCAACAGGGCCACCACCGGGGGACAACTGGCTCAGGCAGCACCAAGAAGGGTTGCCAGTCCCCAGGGCCTCTGTGTAATGGGGAGCGGGGCAGAAAACCCCATTCCCTCTGGTGGTAGAATCCCAAGCATACCGCCATGGCCTCTCAGGAAGACAAACCAACCTACCAGGCCTCATTTCTTCATTGGCAGTTCCTCCAGAACAAATCTACCAACAACCTTCATACTCTAAGGAGCAGCTTGATGGAATCCTGCCATAGGTAGAAAGTTCAGAAATTGAATTCTAAAACTAAAGGGGAAGAGGGAGAAAGGAGGAACATGGAGGTTGTGGGGAAGAAGAGAAACCAGAGAACTGGTTGTTGAATGATTAACTGTTCCCCCTGAAAACTCCAACTCAAGATCTGCCTCATCACCTCACAGATATAAGTGGTTAGGGCACCAGCCACATACACCGGGGCTGGCGGGTTCAAACCCAGCCCAAGCCTGCTAAAAAACAACAATGACAATTATAACAAAAAAAATAGCTGGGCATTGTGGCGGGTGCCTGTAGTCCCAGCTACCTGGGAGGCTGAGGCAAGAGAATCACTTAAGCCCAAGAGTTTAAGGTTCCTGTGAGCTGTAACACCACGGCACTCTACCGGGGGTGATACAATAAAACTCTGTCTCAAAAAAAAAAGAACATCACCCAGGACAAGAATGTGTGCCTATGTATATTGTAAGGAAATGATCACAACACAGCCTCTGGTCAAGGGTAAGGACAGCTTGGGGTAGGTGGGGAGTTTTCCATTTCACTACATACCCTTCCCACATCCTTGAATTTTACATCACATGCCTGTAACATATTCTTAAAAACTCAAAAATTTATGTTTTAAATTACTTTTTTTTTTTTTTTTTGAGACAGAGCCTCAAGCTATCCCCCTGGGTAGAGTGCGACGGCATCACGCTCACAGCAACCTCCAACTCCTGGGCTCAAGCGAGTCTCCTTCCTCTGCCTCCCAAGTAGCTGGGACCACAGGCGCCGGCCACAATCCCGGAAATTTTTTTTTTTTTTTGGTTGCAGCCATCATTGTTGTTTGGCGGGTCCGGGCTGGGGATCCGAACCCGCCACCTTAGGTGTACGTGGCTGGCGCCTTAGCCCGTTGAGCTATAGGCGCTGAGCCTTTAAATTACTTTTTAACACATGCCAGATAAAGACATGAATCAATCAATTAACTGATGGATGAGGCAAGGCAGAAGACCGCTCAGGATTTATCATGAAAAGCTTCCAAGTTTTCCTCAAAGAGGAGCTGAAATAACACCCCTGCTGGGGCCTGGGATCATGGTACTGGGGTGCCCAGAGTGTTCTGAGCCCACATAAACACAGGTACCAGGAAGACAGAAGGGAGGCCACGGGCTGTAGCACTAACTTCACTGCAGGCTGGGTGATGCCAGGAAGGTGCAATGGCTTTTCCTGTATGCTCTCCTGCGTTCTCGGCAATGAGCATATACACAGCAAGGCCTCAGATAATGTCATTTCATTCAACTTCTTTCATTATAATGTCAATAAGGAAGAAATAAAACTGATTCCCAGAGTGGCCAGTGTGGAGCTGCACACCCGCCTTGTCTGTATGGGTTTTCTCCAGGTACTCAGGTTTCCTTCCACATCCAAAGATATCAGGTTAACTTGTGTGTCTAAATTGATGTTTGGGGGACAAGGACAAGATTAAGTGCCACAGAACTTAATCCATCCTTTTTGTTTTTTTGAGCCCATCCTTCTGCAGGAGGAACTTAACTCTTATTTCTATGCTAAAATAGGTTTCATTATAAATTATTTCATTTAAAATCACAGTTTCCAAGAATCTATTGACAACATTAAGCAAAGATTTATTGTACTAGGGAAGGTAACAATAAGGGTTAAAATTTAATAATTAAGGCTGGGTGTGGTGGCTCACACCTGTAATCCCAGCACTCTGGGAAGCCAAGGTGGGTGGATTGCCTGAGCACAAAGTTCAAGGCTAGCCTGAGCAAGAGCAAGATCCCATCTCTACTAATAACAGAAAAACTAGCGAGGCATTGTGACGAATGCTTATAGTCCCAGCAACTAAGGAGGGTGAGGCAGGAGGATCATTTGAGTCAAAAAGTTTGAGGTTGCTGCCTCACACCGTGGCACCCTACCCAGTATGACAAAGTAAGACTCTGTCTCAAAAACTTAAAAAAAAAAAAAAAAGAAAAGAAAACACAACAATCTAGTGCAGATATCCTTATGATAAAATGCATAGATGCCTAGTAAGGGGATTGTGGGATTAAATGGAAGGTCTATTTTGAGTTCTGAGTATTCTCCATACTTCTTTCCAAAGAGGATGTATTAGTTTGCAGTCCCACCAACAGTGTAAAAGTGTTCCCTTCTTTCCACATCTGTACCAGGATCTATAGCTTTGAGACTACACCTTTTAGGGGAAGGACACAACTACAAGAGGGGCTGTACAATCACTGTAACCTAATTCTTCTTTTTCTTTGTTATTGAGACAGAGTCTCACTTTGTCACCCTCGGCAGAGTGCCATGGCGTCATAGCTCACAGCAACCTCAAACTCTTGGGCTCAAGCAAT